TTATGGGAGGATAATGCGTGAATCAACGAGGGAATGCCTTTTTGAAATTACAGGGAAATGGTCCGATATTATGTACATTACTAATTTGAAGGTTAATAATAAATTAGATCAGTAGTTAATTCATTGACATTTCATATTAAATGTATTTAATTAAATTTTTATTTTTATAGAGTGGAAAAAGTGAAGTGATGTTTAATGCTCTTGAATCTGCGATATGTCCAAAAATTGTTGCACCGGAAGACATGCAAAGCGAAAAAGAGTCTAGGCGGTACGAATTTAATAAATACTTTTTTTTTGTTTTATGTGGAATATTTTTATATGCTGACGTTTTTTTTTTACATTTAGATTATGGTCAAAAGTCACAAGTGCACTATTAGCAAAAAATTTTGATCTTGCTACACAGGAAAAGTTTCTAATCGAAGAGAAACAACGTAAAGATACGAAACTTTTGGAGAAGGATTGGAAGCCAAAATATTTTTCTCGTAAGGGTGATGAATATATCTTCAATCACATGCAGTAAGCATTTTCCCCATATTTTAGCAAATGCCACGCTATTCTTAATTTGTTTCTGATGATTTTTTTTGTTTTAATTATTTATTAGCAATCCAGAAGCAATATTTCAAATTTAATGACATTATTACGTAATTCTTTAGAGCTACATTATTTATTATTATTTATTAGCAATCCAGAAGCAATATTTCAAATTTAATGACATTATTACGTAATTCTTTAGAGCTACATTATTTATTATTATTTATTTAACAAGTTACTATTATGTTGTAATAAGCTTCTATTTTTAAATATCAATCGAATTTAATGATTTCATTTATTATACATAATTATTTTCGAACTTTGTAGTTGAAAAAAATTGAAACGTTGATTCTATTTAGCTTAATGACCTACATTAAGTTATATCTACTAAATTTGCTATTGGTCGCAGGGGTGCAATCAATAGGATGGTAAAATTAGTAAATTCTGATAATTGAATCAGATTATGCTAATTTGGAAGCCTTAATAAAAAAAATTTTATACGTACAATTATAAATTATATTAATTATATTGTAATTTTCGATATACTTATAATTCTGGTGCAAAATCTAATGATTATCATCCCCCATCGATTAAATTGATAGCAAGATTTTTATTGATAATAATAAATATAAATAATAAAGTAGCGCTTTGCAAAAAGATGTGACCTGGTGATTTTTGTGATAACGATAATGATTAATTTAAAATTGCTTGTACTGTAATCGATTTTTATCAGTTATATATGTTGTACGTCAAATTAATACCTACCCTTACCCTACTATAAGGCTTCACCATAACCTTAATAAAACTCAGGATTGAATCAATTTGACGTACAACACATATATTGATTATAATCAATTGTTTGATTTAGATAGGTTATTATGGCTTGCAAAAGAAATCTGAAACTCAAAATTAATAAAACTAATATAATTATCACGTCAAACCCATCTTCCCACCTTAAAACCCATCTCTTTTACCGCTAAGATTTCTCTTTTTACCGTTAACATTCATCTCTTATATATTTATAGTCAAATGATTTAACTCACGTTAAATATCTATAATAAATTTAGAGTAACGTAATTGATGATCGGGGGAAAATTTTCTTAATTTCTAATGGGTGATCGGGGAAAATTTTCTTAACTTGTTACATAATATTTTCTATCGGAATCGGTAAAATTCTTAAAATCAATAGAATATCCGATTCTTACATGACTACATCATAATCGATTAATTGTAATCAATTATAATCAAGTTTTAAATTTTTCTGGCACACGTAAAATGATAGATATCTCTATTGCTGCCAGATTTTGGCGTCAAATAAAGCATCAATCAGAATAATATTATTCTGATTGATGCTTATTGATCACTAAAAAATCTGTCAGCAATAAGGATGTCTATTGGTATCCTATTGAATTATCATTTTACATGTGTAGTGTAAAGATATCAAAAATCGGTGCTTCTTAAGGTATTTAGAACTTCTCAAAAAAAAAAAAAAAAAAAAAAAAAAACAAAAAAAAAGTAATTTTGTAGGTCTTTCCCACATAGGAAAAAGATTTTAAAAGGGAACCAACAGACAACCCTATTTCTGCCAGCTTTTAGCGCAAACGGAGGTCAATGTTAATCAGAATAATATTATTCTGATTGATGCACTATTGACCTCATTTTGCGCCAAAATCTGGCAGCAATAGGGATGTCTGTTTAGGGTGTATCATGCAAACCTATTTACAAATATAGTGCAAGTGTATAGTGCAATATATAGTAAAATGATAGTAAAAACATAAATTCAAACTGTAATAACTCTTTGAACCAGCAAGCAGTGTTGAAAGTTCGTTGTGCATGTATTGTTATTTGCACAAAATTAACAATATATTGTGCAAGATAGCTAGCTTAACACAAATTGCACAATCCCACAAATAATATTTATTAAAATTGATATTGATATGCGATTCATTTGCATACGTAAAAGTTTAGATGACGCAGAAATCTGTGCATGCACAAATTTTTGTGCCGAATTTTTAACACTGCCAGCAAGTCCACATAAATATAATTCATTTATCTGGTTCATTTTAGCATGCATTTAAAGTAACAACGCCTTTTATTTATTTATTTTTTTATTGTTTAGAGCATATCGGGTGACCCAATTTCCATGCAAAATTGTTCTTTGATGTTTTTTTTTTAATAAAACGAATCAAAAATGTTGTATAATACTGAACACAAAAATTCAAAGTTACGTTTTTGATATTTTTACCAAAAAAAAATCAAAACACCTGCTATGCTCTAAATAATAAAAATAAAAAAAAAGGCGTTATTACTTTAAAGAGCATGCTAAAATAAACCGAGCAAGTGTAATTTTATTTTTGTGGACTGGTTTAAGAGTTATTGCAGTTTGAATTTTATGTTTTTTACTATTATTTTACATTACACTACCGTTGATCTATAAAAATTTAATTAATGATTTTACTATGTAGCCTGCTATTATGATACACCCCAATGTCTGTTGGTACCCTATTAGATAGGTATCATTTTACCTCCATTATTACGTATTATTAGAGGTAATGGTAATAAAAAATAGCTTAAATTTTGCATAACAATAATCTAACCTTAAGCGTCATAATTAACAGGTTACGCGTGACATGTTACAAGCCATTGATTTTGTGATGTAATGACGAGCCACTATATTATCAGATGGGATCTTGTGGTTTACTGCGATCTTATCGCTATACTATATAAAGTTATTCCCACGTCAACTGTTATATAGTTTAATTTTATACGTAGCAGAATTTAATATTACTGTTTGTTTTCCCATAAATCGTTAGCCCAATAAAAAATTATTTTCAAAGCCAAAATTTATACACACATATCGGTATACGTAATATGATCAAAAACGAACTTTGATTTTTTTTATTTAAATTTATGAGGGGCCTTTTACGCAATCAATTTCTCTCCAACGTTTCCTGAACAAACTCAGTATTCTTAATCTCACCATCTAATAATATTGCTTTACAAACTACGTCCAATTCATTTTGAACTATTTTTTCAAGATATAGTCTGTTTATCATTATATATTATTAAAATCCTTGGATCATGAGAAATGACAGAAGCAAGCGGAATTTTAGCACAAGATTTTTACATCACAAAACAGAGGGAATGTAAATAATGAATTCTATGATTTTTAATACGAGATTAATAAATATTCTTTTTACATGCAAGATTAAATTTATACTTTCCGGCAAAACTAATTGAGATTTGGGATGGATTTTTTATGTTTGAGATTTGACTTATAATTTGGCCGGTAAGCATAATTAAATTATTATGAATTATTAAAATTACTGTCTTTAAACAAAAATCTTGTAAATTGGAATTTAAAAAGAACCATCTACACAAGCAATAGGTTATACCACAAATCTAACTCTTTTATTGTTTCATATTATTCTCTTCTATAACTTACCTAGACGCAAGTTATCAGTCGTTCCTCTCATTAATTTTTTTCTAAGTAACATCATCCGCCTCTCAAGTATTTTTTCATATTTTCCCCCTGTACCATACCAACTATGTAAATCTTTTAATGTCTCAATACTTGTAACCCCACTGACTATTACAGAATTTGCAAAGGTCCATCCTCCGAGATGACCATCACTGAATTGTCGTTCTGGATGAACAACATTTGCCCAATTTACATCATCATCTGGCTGTAAGTACAAAAATTCATGACCTGTTCCATTAGTAAAATCTTCACACCCAATAAAAGTAGGTGCGTTATTATATAAACATCTTTCTAATGCTATATCTTCGGTAATTGATTTATCTTCAAGACAAAAAGGTAAGTGTGGGCCTACAATAGCTAAAAGATCTTTACTCAATATATAACCAGGGCCATTCCAACAAAATTTTACATTAGTTTCATCATCAATATCAGGACGACCTATTAGTCGAGGTTTACGTGTTGTTTTCGAAAGTAATTCTAAAAGGCGTGGCAAATGAACAAATGTTTTATCTGTAATTTTTAAAAAAAAATTATAATGATCAAGATGGTATTCATAAAGAAAATGAAGAGCCTATTTGATAGAAAGAAATTTTTATAAGAATATTTTATAAGAATGATATATATCACCACATATTATTAAATAATAAGGAAAAAATATAACATACTTTAGTAACTGTTCTAAAAGATTTTTGTTCTTTACTTAATTCTGCAGGTTCTTCAAAAACCATAGTTTGTTCAACAAGTTCTCTCATCATTTCTTTAAGATTATCTTTTCCAGGAGTTTTCTTTGAAGTTTTAGAGTCTTCAGAAGTATTATCTATTTCCGTCGAACCATCTTTATTTTTTTCTTTTGATTTAGTTTTGTCAGATTTTGACTCATCTTCGAAACCAGGAACATTAGGCCATCCAAATTTCCTTAAAGTATCTTCAGAAGATGCAAACCATAAATCTACACTTAAAGCTTTATTATTTTTTGCCACAGTACCCCAAGTCTCCACTATCATCTTGCTATATGTATTTATTGACATGTTGGAAGACGGTACGATTAAAATTGCAAGTTGTTTTGGATAATTATCGGTGAAAGTGGAAAATAACGGAGGCGGCCGTGGAGGAGGAGGAGATTGAGAAGAATGACTATTTAAAATATACGATCAACAAAAAAGAAGACAATAAATCAATTCAGTAACGACAAAAGTTGTAAATATGAATTATTTGCCTGATATATTAAAGAGAGCTATGTATGACTGTTTGGTGATTCAAGGTGGCCTACCAGGATTGAAATCAACAATGAATATATAACATTATTGCAATCATCACTGATCACTAACTAGTATGACGAGTTAGAAAGTTAATAATTGATTAAACGACACTCACCCAGTTATTGCAGGAGTCTCTTCAAAAGGATCGACACTCCTTTTAAGTTGAATACGAACAATTACTATTAAAAATAATAATAAACAGAAACCAAAGTATCCCCATTTCCGCTTTACAAAATTAGGGAATAAGGACCTCGATGGTCGGTGTCGAAAGTTAGATTGAGTTGAGGTAATAGGTATTAGGTTATAATGTACATAGGAGGTTAAACGTAAGGAAGCAATAGAAGTTCGGATACGAAGGAGGAGTGGATTGATAGGAGGAGCTCTTAATTTTTCATCCATTGCGTGAAGAAGTAACTTTTTGATGAATGTTTTTTTTATAAAGGAAATCTGTCAAACTCCTGTCCGACCAAATATCGTACAATGATGGTACAAAGTTCACCAATTTACATCACGTATTTTGATTGGGCAGTTGCTAATTACGGTAAATTGATTACGCCTCAATCACATGGATTAGTTTAATCACATGCTGAATTATAATAATAACTGAGTGTTAATACGTAACGTTAATAGATTTTATGGACTCTTGATTCAATATATTTTAAAAATGTTGAGACCCTTTTGAAAATTCGAAGCCATAAAGTCTATACAGAAATTTAGATATCTTAATGCGCAGTAACTACATACGTAGTAATTATTAAATTTAATATAATATATAATATTTAGTATGTAGTTACTGCGTATTAAGATATCTCAATTTCTATATAGTGGTTATGTATATCGTCGTGTACTTTTTAAAACCCCATTAATTCTTTATATTCTTAAGTTTTCACTGGTTTAGTTTATGCTTTTAACAATATATCATTTATCTAATCTAATCACCAAACACTAAAGGCATTATATTTGAATGATGGTCATGGAAAACCTGTAAATCATACTTTTTAACTATTTACATTTCATAAAAATATTTCAATTATTATTTAATATCATTTGAATTGCATTAATAAGACGATTCGAATAACATTAAAATTGTAGGCATGCGAAGATCCTGTGGTAAGTCCATGTGAGTACGAATTGGAATAGGAATTCAAGTTGTCGAGCAGTGATTTTTTCCAATTTACAGGTTTTTCCTGACCGTCGCTCATATCATGAAGTACAATACCTTTGAGTTTTAAATGCGCTATGGCCATATAAATAAAATTTATAAGGTAAATTGTTTCTATATAAAGGTCAATTAAAAAGATTTTTGTTTAGCCTATATGTAGATCACGATATACCTTAAGTAAAAATTTCTTCATTTCTATTTATATTAAAGTATGCTATTTTTTTTGAGCTACTCTACGTATAAAATTTTTAAATAGGTTAATATGTAAATTATCGAGAAGATACTATTCAAAATATATCAAAATATATATAAAAAATTATTAGTTTTTAAATTGTATCCTCAACATTTTGCATATTAATCTATTAAGAAAATTTCAATACAGCTCAATGGACTGAGTGAAATTGCTAAATAGAAAATTTTTGAGATGCTATCGATAATTTACATATTTAATCTAGTTAAAATTTTAAAATGAGTTTTTTCATTAACTAAAATATTATTAAATTTCGATAATAATCTACTCGGATTTTATTTAGATGTATTTAGGGTTAGGAAGATTTTTTAAGATACCAAAGTTAGGTTCTGAATCGTGTAATCTGATTGGCTTGAACCTGTAACCGACCGCCGATGATAAATATTAATTAATATATTCTTTGTAATACTATGATCTGCACAAAATCTTTCTAATAAATTTTATTTGCATTTAAAACCCCAACAATACATGGTTGATATGAAATTGTGAATACGTACTGTAACTGTTTCCTAAATGATCATCGCCTTATATATTAACGTTAATTAGCATTAGGTAATTAGTACGTATGACCGGCTTGTGTATTTAACTATTATAAAAACCGAGCAATGTATGGAACCGAATGAGCCGATAGCATCTAATTAGACTTACATACCCGGGTCAGAAAATATCGACCCGGGTTATAACCCGGGTCATAACGGGTCATACGGAAATTTATAAAGTTAATCCTTAAAATTTGATGTAACGACTCTTAATTAATATGGAGCAGCCTGTACTCCAAATATTTAAACTGGACCCGGATAAGAACTTTACTATTTTAGTATATAAATTATAATATGTTTTCTACACATTCAGTTATATGAAGTAAATTACGTAATAGAGGGTTTCAGAATTAACTTATTTCGATCCTACTTCAAATTCCGACTCAGGGGTTATGTAAATAAAATAAGACTTATGTTTTTTAGTTGCTTTATTTCCGACTTGTCAAAATTCCTTATTAAGTCGCGATTATGAAGTCACGAACCTAATCACGAACCTTATTTTATTTTATTTTTTTTACAGGTTGTGGTTCTACGTATAGAATCATTACCACAGAAGAAAGTGTGCTTTCATCAACCCAGAGGTATTTAAGAGATTTTGATCACTTAAGTTACCTTTCAAAAAATACAATGAACGTTTGAGTAATGGGTTAAGTGGTGTTAAGCGGTTAGTGGCAGGTTTCGTGAATACGGTGAAAATGCAAGGATCTTGTTTTTATTTGTCGCAACGGCAATGCAAGAACCTTGTTTTTTTTTTTTTTTTTGTTTTTTTGGTTCTGTGGTCTCTATGGCAGTGCAAAGATTTTATAAGATAATTATGAATAGATAAACCGTCAATAATAATTGGATAATTATTCAACGGATCAGACCTCTTATTTTGAATTCTGAACCGTTTGACCTGGGTTAGAGCAATTTTTGACCCGTGACCCGTACGGGTCAACCGCCCGTATAAGACCTCTAATTAGACTATTTGGGAAATGGACTAGGAAAACCACCGTCTGACATTTGCTTTCAGATAGGGGTTTTCTTAGTCCATTCCCATTAATGTTAACGATCACGTCATACGAACATCTGACGTTGCGGAACAGGGGCCTGGGAAATTATTTTGGGTGAAAATAGATTTTCTTTCAGTATTAGATTTTTAAATGTTAAATTACAAATTCATCATTTTAATAATCCCAGGTCTATCTTACTTATCTAAACTTTTGATTATCGCTTTAGATCCATAACAATCTGTGGAACTATTCGACTGATTCACATCATTAGGCCAATCGATCTCATAGAACAACCGAATATGCGTAGTTTTTTAAGGTTATGATCGCAATGAGGCTTAAATTTATACAAGAAGTTTTTTTTCTAAAGTACAGAAAGTGGTTCATATACGTACGTACGTACAGTACGTACAAATTTTAAGTTACTGGCGGTTTTTTTTACTCATGTTCGGTCTTGTAATTGAACAATCTATATATATCAATAAAATTTGTCGAGATACTTGAAATGATATACGAACTGAAAGTGAAAACATTTTTTACTATTGCTGTCACAACCATTGCATGAATATTTTCTATAATTTTTTATTAATTGTAAATACCATATGAGTCTCCTTTTTTTTCAAAAAAAATTTACAAATACTGCATTACAACGTAAGTAGTAAAACAACTTTTTTTAGTAAAGAAATTTTTTAAACCTAAACAAAAACAAACCCACTAACGTTTATTCATAATTTAGGATAAAAATCCGACATTTTTAAAGAACTTTATAACGATCAAAAGAACTATCGGCAGCTTATAACAAGACTTGACACCTTTTGTAATATAGCTGATGTCGGTGTTCATTTACAAAATTAATCCGGTTACTGAACTTTCCGTGTTATTTACCGTGCAACAAGTGATTAATGCCGGTTGACCTTTTATGTGTAATTTCTAATCTAATCTGATATAGCTATATTAATGCCAGATGTTATTCGTACCCCTTAGAATTTATTTCGACGCCACCTAACCAAATTTGATGAAAATTTTATTTAATTTTATTATTAATAATAAATAGAATTAAATTAACAAAATTTTTTTATCAAATTCAATTAGGTAGTTGTCGAGAAAACTTCACTTAAAGTTATGAAAAAATTCAAACAATTTTAAATAGAAGTCACGTCAACTTTTTAAACCATTTAAGCATGAAATAATAAATAGTTATTGCATGCATGCAATAACTATTTAGAATTTGGTTGGGTGGTTGTTGAGATATCTTCGCGCAAGGTCTTTGAAAAATTTTAAACCGAAAATATAAGCTGTGACAATTGTTTTTTAACTTTAATCAAACTATCACAATTAAATTAGTGAAATTTTTTTATTATTATTTAAATACAACTATCGTTATTTGTAAAAATTTGGAAATGTAGATCTAATAAATGGTGCACAGAAAATCAACAGATTCACTTATTGCATTTTAATTTGTTGTAAAAACCGTAACGGTAAACCGTATCGGTATCGGTATTGTCTCAATATTGTTAAAGATCAGCATTACCGTTACGGCGTATTTGTCAAATTTAACTAATTTTTGATCCCCAAATCTAAGTTTTAGGGACAAAATTTATTGCCTAAAAAAATTATTGCCACTCCCGATGCGTCTAACTCGTCTAACCATACCATTAGCGCAACCTATTTTAAATTTCTGTACAATTCAGATAACCCATTCTAAATTTATCGTTACATATATCGATATGTACGAACGTACAATTTAATAATTTGCAATGAACGTCAGTAACATTGACAGTATTTTATGGATAACAAAGAAAATTTAAAAAGTATATTACCATTAGATC